GTTACCTCGAGCCCCGATGCGCCACCTGACAACTGTCGACCGTGACGTGGACAGGTGCATGTCTTCGCATGAGTGGTCTCACAGTCGTTCATGCCTCAGCAACTCTTTGTTTCTCAGTGACGGTTCACCTCCAAGTGGCTATTCGCCTCCCTACGAACTTCGGTTTCTCGTTGAGAAACCTTCTCTCTCACCGGAAACCCTCTGCTACTTATCCATCTCCTCCAAGTCACCGAAAAACCACTGGAAAACTCCAAAATCAGTGGAAGTTCACTAGCGAGTCCCTGTGGCAACTTGGATCCTTCACTCCTTCCCCGATATTCCTAAACTGGCTGCATACTTGGGTTGGTCGGCAAACCCCTACTTCCCTCGATTCCGAAAATTGTGAGCCCTCGATTCCCTACGGAACTTCCTGTGTTCCTTCTTCCCACTCCAAACCTCCTCTTACTTGCCCACCTCACCAAAGTTCCCTGTTCTGCTGGAGCTTTCATCTGAAATTTCTCTCTCTCACTGTCAAATTTTTTGCTTAAGTCTTTTTATCCTCAGTGAAACAGTGAGAATGGGGGTTTACCCCCTTATATAGGCGATGCTTCCCTCAAGTGTCCCTCACGAATGCCAGGCAGGTCCTTGAAGACCAAACGACAATGGGCTGGACCGGGTCAGGCTCTGACCCTAAACTCGAACAAGAAGTTTACCACCGCCCATGAAACCTCATGCATCGGAAACTAAGACCGGTCGAGCTCGGGCCAGAGACTGGAACACAGGTCACCGCCGGGTATGTAATCTATGCCCAGTGCCGGATGTTTTCTCAAAACAACCCAGCACTGGCTATGTTCTTGAAAGCTCAGCACCCTCTGTGCTCAACACCATCTCTGTAACTCGCGCCCAGCACCGACTGTGTTCTTGAAATCTCAGCATCGTCTGTGTTCAACGCCATCTCTGTAACGCATGCACAGCATTGGCTATGTTCTTGAAAGCTCAGTGCCGTCTGTGTTCAACACCATCTCTGTGACTGATGCCCAGTGCCAGCTGTGTTCTTGAAAGCTCAGTGCCGTCTTTATTCAACGCCATCTCTGTAACTCATGCTCGGCACCGACTGTGTTCTTGAAAGTCCAACACCGGCTGTGTTCTCAAGAGCTAGCGCCGACTATGTTCTCAAAGTTTACCGCTACGAGTGTTGCTACTGCATAAGCTAGCATTGCGTGTGTTACTGTTGCCCATGCCAGTGCTCCAGGTGTCAATGCTGTTGTCGTTCATGACCATTGTCGTACGCTCCCCGTGTTAATGCCACGCACATGTCAGTACCTGGTTTCTGCCATGCATATCCTACCACTATCCCCAGTGGAGTTGCACGCAATCCATAGCGTGTCATCCCCAATGGAGTCAGAAGCAGGTCATTGTTCCTCATCCCCAATAGAAATTACACCCATACTGCAGCCCATTATCCCCAACGGAGTTAGGATTATGCCTACCCCTTTAATCCGCAATATCTTATCCCCAAGAGTTGGGTTAACTTCCATGAGTCTATTCCCCATGGAGTCACATCTTTCATCTTAGGGAGTCACACTCATCCCGTAATTCCCATTGAAGTCTGCTTCCGTTTGCTATCCCTCGGGCCACCATCTTCATCTGAGCCCTCTACTTGTGTATAGCCTTAACCATTTTATCCCCAGGGAGTCGGATTGTCATTCACAGACCTATTCCCCATCGAGCTCCACCTATATGGCGACTCACACAAAGGTCTGTGTTGCATGACCTTAAACTGCAACAGCCTCAGTCTAGATGTACGACCCTAAACTGCATGGTCCAAACTATATGACCTTAAACTGTAGGGGAGGTCCAGTTGCACGACTTTAAAATGTTGCGCGACCCAAAAAATGCATAGCCATGGTCCAAACTATATGATCTTAAACTGTAGCGGAGGTCCAGTTGCACGACCTTAAACTGCATGGCCCTAGCTGCAGGACTCTAAACTGCATAGCCACGATCCAAACTATATGATCATAAACCATAGTGCATGTCCTAGCCGCATGACATTAAAAGGTTTCGCACCACGGTCTAAGCTATATGACCTTGAACCATAGTGTACGTCCTGACCGCATGACATTAAACTACTTTGCACAGGTCCAGGAGGCATGACCTTAAATGCACCCCCACACATGTGCAAACCCCCTTTATGTGTATATTCACGCACGCCTTCCTTAACCAACTCGTTCATGCGTGCACCACCTTCATTACCTCCTCAGTGAATCCATTCACTATATTACCCTCCATCATTCATTAGTGAGTCTTACTCATGCTCACAAAACGATGAGCCATCCATGCTTGCTGTCAGTTAGTGGGTCACCACTCATCCACCTTCTATCCATACATCATCCATCTTTCACATGTAGCCTCATGTCATCTCCCCAAGTGATCCAAACCATCACCATACTCACTCCATGGCCTCTACAGACTGTCATTCATCACCCTAAACCACAGTGCATGTCCTGGTCACATGACACTAAAAGGCTTCGCACAAGTTCTAGAGGCATGACCCTAAGCACGCCTTCACAAAAAAAAAAGGAATAACGGGCATGGTATATACTTGGACAAGGGAATGCCATGAGGAAAAATGGCGGATGGGCATTGTCACAAAACCATGAGTAAAAGAGTTCCGAAAAAAAAAACCCGGGCACGGTGAAGAAGAAAATGGTAGACATGGACAAAAGGTCATGGGTAAATGAGCCCCGAATAAAAGGAGGTTGGTGAAAACCGTCTCTACAACGCCACTTCCCAAGTTCAAGTGAAAATCCACCAAAGGACGCTTAGACCAATAAGCAAGTTGATGCAGTGTTCGCCTCAATAGGTGGCTTCGGCCCGCATGCAAAAGAAAAATCCATGGTGTCACAGTACTAGGACCCAAAAATACGAGCATTAAGTAAGATTCCGACAAACTTGAGTCCCTTTGTAAAAAGAAATCAAAGGACAGAAGACTTGTCAAGAAGGAAAGACAAGTCTCATGAAGACGAGCATCATTCCCAAAAGGTCAGTAGCGCACTTCAAGATGTTGAAGACGCCCCAAGAAAGCTAAGTCAGTCATGACTTTGGACCTGTTGTGCAGCAATTATGATTGAATCCTCAAAGGTCGTCTCGGACAAAGAAGGGAGGCATCTTGATTGTTGAAACTGCTAGATATAGGTAGGGGGTATACCAAAAGCCGGTCACCGCGGGACCCTGCCCGCCAAGGAATATCTGGTGCACAATGCAGATGGATGTCGACATAAGGCCCTTTAGCACACCATCCAGATCAAACAACAAAACAAAATCCTCGAAACATGGACCAACACCAGAAGATACAAACAAACCTAGACCAAATGGGAACAATGCCCTTTAGTATGACACTCGACTGCCAAACAGACCTGATTCTGACCAACAAGTAAGCCCTTGAGGGTGAGGACATCGACAGGATCTCTCAAAAAATCTCTTCTCCCCCTAAAGTCTCTATGGATGGACCTGCACATTGCATCCAAATGTCTGAGCATCCTAGTTACAACATTGCGTGGATCTCCTCAGCATTCATGTGGTCTTGTGGCTAAGAAGAAAAAATAATAAAACCAAAGGAAATTTTCCGAATGTTGTCCTTCTCGCTTCTCTTGAAGCACAACATTCAGCGGGCAAGCTGTTTGAACACATTTTTCAGTTCCTTGGGTCCCCGATGTGGAATAAAGAGGAAGCCGGTCAATAAAGCCTAAGCATACAGTGGCATTTTTTATAGTTTCATAATTTCCCCAAAAGGGGTCAGAATCTTCCTAATGATTCCAAAAGGCTACCTGTCAAGTTTCATCGCAATCCAACATGTTTAATGCAGTGCAGACAAAGAAACAATTTCAAAAAAATTAGCCTCTAAGCACTCTGAAACAGACCCCATAACTATAACTATATTTTTTGAGGCTCATATCTCCCTCGTTACGAGTCAGGTCATGCTCAAATTTTGCGAACGTATTCGTCTCGTCAAGATGAGCATTTTGATATGAAGCACGGCATGTGGTGATACCCGAGCAGGGAGAAAAGCTAGAGAGAAGTTGGTGATTTGCGGCAAAAGTTACAGAAAATTCAACAGCACTACTACTCACTCGAGTGGCCACATCACGAAGCTTGCATATCGGATTGACGTGAGACTAGTTCCATCGCGTGCGTAAGGTTTAGGGCTATCTCTAATCCGAACCCCGCACATAATGAACGGTTGGATTTCACACATGAAGTTGATATAAATTTCGACGGCTGAAATTCAAGATCGGGCCAAAACCCAAAAGTTGCAAAATCTTCGTCCTTACACGAAATCGAGCTGCGTTTATTGCAACACAATCGTGACGGCATGCTCAGTGAGATTCAACGAAGAAATCAAAGAAAATCATCAAGAAACAAGCACACTATCGATTCAAAGTTTTTAAGATTCCTTCAAATTTTAAGTCACATGATCGTGGCTTAAAAACATGAACCGTGGCTCGAAATTGGTATTAAATCGATCGTCATGTCGTGACCTACAAAAAAATAATCATCTTTCAGTCAAACGAGCAATAAAGCAACCCCGAATCACCCATAGAAGATCACGTACGTTCTAGGGCAGCACCAGGGACTATTTTAGAATTCCATATATTGTTGGATAGCGGTAAAATAGTCATTTTTCACCTTATTTTTAGATTTTTCCTTAACTCAAACTAATTGTAATTATCATCAATTAGGCTAGGTTTTTAGCATCCACCCATGTTTGGGCCCAATTTTATAAATACATGGTAAACCTAATTGTAAAAGGAAACCCCTTTCATTCTTTATGCTCGTCAATAAAATTTGAGTTTTTACTTTGCGTTTGTGGGTGCGTATTGGAAAGAGAGAGAGATAGGAGAGATAAGAAAGGACCGGTACCATTCGGTAAGGTCATTTTCTCTCTCCTCCTCTCATCTTTATCTCTTTCTCTCTCCCAACCGGTGAGAGAGGATTTTAGGTTATGAGGCGGAACTTACCTCACGTGGATTCGTGACACGCCGGGCTAGCTCGCTCAGGTGCCCTCTTAGATCACGTTGGAATGCCTCTGGCCTATGGCCAGTTTGGAATTGCCTCCCTGAACCTATTTCTCTTTTCCTGCAAACACACACACATATTAAAAGTACAAATGAATGGGGCATAGGTCCCCACCTTGTTACTAAGTGAAGTGAAAGTGAGAGAAGAAGTTTGACCGGCCGGTTAGGCTGGCACCGTGGCTAGACTAGTGCGGGGACTGACTTGACGTTATAACAAGAAGGGCGCGGTACCTCAGACCGGCATGGTAGCAATACTACTCAACGGCAAAACCAACACCCACCAGCCTGGCACAATGGCTAGTCTGACGTAGCAACAAGACGGGCACCGTAACTCAGACCGGCACGACGACAATACTGCTTGACAACAAAACTTGCACGAGCACAAGGCTCAGCCTGCCCTCTGGTCAAACAAGCGAAAGAGAGAGAGAGGAAGTGAAGACTACCTTGATTGTCGCTAGGTCTTCCAAAAGAGACGAAAGTGAAAATAAAAATGATGGTGAAATAAGAGTAAAAGAAAATGAGATAAAATGCGAAAGATGAATTAAAAATGAAAATAAAATAGAATTAGAAAATGAAAAAGGGAGTAAACTAAAATAAAATGAAAAAAAAGCAAAATAAAGTAAATAAATTAAAATAGAGTAAAATAAAATAAAATATAAGGGATGGAAGAAAATAAAATAAGATGAGGTAATAAAATAAAATAAATGAATATAATAGAGTAAGGTAGGGTAGGATAAAATAAGTGAGGCAAAAATAAATAAAATCAAATGGTGTAAAGGGAAGTCAATTGACGTAAATGAAATAAAATGAAAGGAAGGAGTAAAATGGAATAAAGGGAAAGAGTGAGAAAGAATAACATAGGAGGGTTTAATAAAATAAAATAAAATAAAAAGATAGATTAGTTGAAAGAGAGAGAGGGATGTTGGGTTAGGGGTTGAGGGAAGTAAAGTTTTTTAAAAAAATAATAATAATAACGTGTTAGCTAAGGGGGAGAAAGGGTTGAGCATTGGGTTCTTTTATGAAAGGGTGTAACATAGTATAAGAAAAAAGGAAATAACGCTTTAATTTAAGAGAGAAAGTGAGAGTGATATATGGGAGTGGGTAGAATAAAATAGTTAAGAAAAGTACAATTTCGTGAACAGAGAATTGGGGTATTGGGTTATTAGGCTTAGAGGGAGTAAAAGAAAAAGAAAGTCACGAGGGGTTTATTGGGTCATTGGTTTTTGTAGATGGGTTTGGAGGAAGGACGAAAACAGGATGAAACGAGATGGGTGACGCGAAACGAAAAGGAGCGAAAGTAAGGAACAAAAAGGAAAAAAAACGGGTATTTCGTTGGAGGAAGAGGAATTCTAGAGAGAGAACCTGAAATTACAGAGAGGATGATCTTGGAAGGGCCGGAGGTTGCAGGCGGCAGGGAGAGGATGAAAGGAGGCCCGTGTGGTTTGCTTTTAGAGTAAGAGAGAGAGCAGAAGGTTGCAGCGTGGGTGAGAGTTGCAGAGACTTTAGAGAGAGAGAGCAGTAGGTTGCGGTGGGGTTTCTATGAGGATTGGGGATAGAGAGCGAGAGAGAGGGCAGCAGCCCAGATGGCGCGGCAAAGGCGAAAAGAAATGGTGGCGGAGGGTGGAGCAGCGATTGAAGAAAGAAGAGGGTGAGGTGGATGGTGATTAGAGAAGCAGAGCTGCGGAGATGGTTGCTGCAACTAATGGCTGCAGTTGAGAGAGAGGCAAAGGTTTGGAGATGGTGGTAGCTGGTTGGAGTGGAGGCAGCGAAGGTGAGGAGGGAGGAAGGTCGTGGCGGCAATTGATGATGGCGAAGGAAGAAAGGGCCGAGACTGAAGTTGGCTCAGCTGTGGGGGAGAAGGCTTGATGGAGGTGACTGAGCAAGAATGGGGCTGCAAAGTCGCGGCAGCAGCAAGGATGGGTTGCAGCAGAATGGGCTGCAACGAGGTGGTGAAAAGAGGCGAGAAACAGGGAGGGCAGGAAGTGACAGAGCAAGGTTGCGGGAGGCCTGTCGGGTTTTTTTCTTTTTTTTTTAGTTTTAGAGAGAGAGAGGATGGCAGGATTAGTTGCAAGTTGCGGAAGAGAAAATGGGATCGCGCAAGATAGCGGAGAGAGCAGCAGGTGGCTGAGAGGGGCAAGAAGTGGCTGAGAGGTGGAGGACAGGGGCTGAGAGAGGTGGAGGATAGGGGCTGAAAGAGGTGGAGGACAGGGGCTGAGAAAGGTGGAGGATAGGGGCTGAAAGAGGTGGAGGACAGGGGCTGAGAGAGAGGTGGAAGACAAGGGCTGTGGTCACGGGCTTGGTGGTGAAGAACGTTTGGTGGTGCATGGCAGCGGGGTATGCGTCCTGCACGGCAGTGGCAAACACGGCGTCGGGGTAGAGTTCGCGCGGCGATGGGTAGCCTTACAGACGAAGATAGGTTATGACACACGGCGATGGGTTACGATTGACGGACGCTATACGTTATGTTTCATCGGTGGTAGTATGTGGGTTGAACAGAGGGCGTTGGGTAGAAAGGTTTGGGCAATGGTGGCCTTAGGGAACTTAGATCGTGAGAGGAAAAAAAAAAGATCGCAAGGTGCACAAAGGTTTGGGCAATAGGGGCCTTACGGGACCATAGATCGTGAGAGGAAAAAAAAAGATCGCAAGGCGCACAAAAGGGAAAAGGGGGTGATGAGAAGTTGTACAAAAAAGGTGTACAAAAACAAGAAGAGAAAGGGAGGTGAGAAAGAAAGAGGTAGACCCAAAGGTGCACAGAAAACAGGTGGACTGGGATAAAATAATAATAAAAAAGAGACATTGGGGTCATAGGCTACAAGAAGGCTGAGGAAAACGTTATAAATGCGAGGGACCACAAGAAAGAGGGAAGATGAGGGTTGTGATCATACGAGATCACAAGGGAAGGGAAGAGAAAAGAAATAAGGAGTGAAACACAGATGGCGATGGGGTTATGCCGTCTGTGAAAGAGGAAAGAGAAAGAGAGAGAAAGAAGAAGAGGAGAGAAGAGAAAGAGAGAGAGAAAGAGAAGTGAGAGAAAGAAGAAGAGGAGAGAAGAGAGAAAGAGAAGAGAGAGAAAAAGAAAAGAGAAAAAAAGAGATTTACGTTAAGCCTAAGGGCACCGATCCAAAAATTTTTCTCATTCCTCTCTCTCTCAAAATATAACCCAACAATGAAGAAAGATAGAAATTTTATTAAAAGTTTATTAAACAAAATGGGTCTTTTGTACAATGATATCACGTAATATATATAGACTTTTGCCCAAATATGGGTGAATTAATCAAAATTAACTTTAATTATTGATAATTACAATTTAATTGAATTAAATAGAATTCTAAAAAAAGTTATAAACTAACGGTTTTGCCCTTGCTCAACAATTCATGAAATTCCACTTCAGTGCCTGCTGCACCTATGGAACATGTACGATTTTCCTAGACCGATTCAGGGTGATCATTCGACCAAAAGCTGATTGTTTTCTCGTTGATCTTGGAGTGGCAATCGATTTGATACCCATTTTGAGTCACAAATCGCATTTTTAGGCCACGATCATGCCACGTGAAATTTGCACAAAACTTGCGATCTTCGGATCGAGATTGCCCTCGTTTCTTGTTGTATTTCTTCGATTTCTTTGCTGGATCACACTAAGCATGCCGTCACGATCACATTGCAGCAAACGTAGCTCGATTTTGTACCGAAAGAAGATTTTTCCATCTTGGGTTTTTGGTCGGAATTTAGAATCCGAATGGCCGAAATTTACAACAACTTTATTGACTTCGTGAGTGAAATCCGACCGTTCATCACGTGTGAGGTTAGGCCCAGTTGTAGCCTCATACCTTACGCAATGATGGAACTGGTCTTGCATCAATCCGATGCGTGAGAGCCATGATATAGCCACTTGAATGAGACTCGTCGCTGCTGAATTTCCTGCAACTTTTGCCGCGAATCGTCAACTTCTCTCTAGCTTTTCTCCCTGCTCAGATGTTGTCATGGGGCGTGCCACATCTCGTATTGACAAGACGAACACTCTCACAAATTTTGAGAGTGATCTGACTTAGAATGAATGAGATATGGGTCTCCGAAGTCACTACTCGAAACTGTGCAAACAGTCACCATTAATGGTGATTTGGTGCACGGAGAGCGCACGAGAATATTATGCAGCCTACCCCTTTTCGGTCTTTTACCCATAAATTTGTCATGGAGTGCCCGATTAAGCCAAAACTTGACTCTTAGAGGTTATCGACTATGCCGGATCCAATGGCGATTGTCCCATAACTATTTGACACATCGAAAATAGAGTTCTAGTTACGGGGTCCGTTTCAAGGTGCTAGAGGTTGATTTTTTTGAAATTGTTTCTTTGTCTACACTACCTTATACATGTCGGAATGCAACGAAACTTGGCAGGGGGCTTTTTTAAGTTCTTAAGAAGATTTCCACCATTTCTGGAGTAATTCTGAAACTATAAAAAATTACACTGTAAATCAGGGCTTTATCGACCAGCTTCCTCTTTATTCTACATCGGGGACCAAATGTGCTGAAAAATGTATTCAAAAGCTTGCCCCGCCGAATGTTGTACTTCGAGAGAAGTGAGAAGGACAACATTCAGAAAATTTCCTCGACTTTATTAATTTTTTCTTCCTAGCCATAGGACCACGTGAACGCCAAGGAGATATCTACACAATGCTGTAACTAGGATGCTCAGACGTTTGGATGCAATGTGCAAATCCATTTGTGGAGACTAGGGGGAGAAGAGACTCTTGAGGGATCCTATCAAAGTCATCACCCTCGCATGCACTATTTTGGAGGGATTAGTATTTTAAATCCTCACCCTGTCAAGTGGTACCTGTCGGCCTTGTGATAATGACTGGGCTATGTTGTCATCCAACATCGAAGAATGGATGATGACTGAGCTACTTGTCACTTAGCTTTGAAGAAGGGATGATGACTGGGCTATGTTGTCACCCAGCCTTGAAGAAGGGATGATGACTGGGCTATGTTGTCACCCAGCCTTGAAGAAGGGATGATGACTGGGCTACATTGTCACCCAGCCTTGAAGAAGGGATAAAGAGACAAAGGAAAAGAAAAGAGAGAAAGAGATGAAGAGAAAAAAGGCAAGAGAGAGGGAGGGACATGTACGATGTTGTCATCGTCGCACATATCAGGAGAGAGAAGAAGAGAACGAGAAAGAGAGAGAGAGAGAAAGAGAGAAAAAGAGAAGAAGAGAGAAATAGAAGCATGCACAGTACTACCGATGGCGTGCATGTGAGAGGATGAAAGGAAAGAGAGAAAGAAGGGCATGTATGGCACTGCCACTGCCACGCACGTCAAGAAGAGAAGAGAAGAGAGGAAGAAAGATGTTAGACGTCTTGACAGCGCTGTTGGCAACCAAACCAGGTTTGTAGGGCACCTGGTATAACAGTTTCTTGCCTGTTGTGGATATTGAGGGATGATTTTAATATCTACACCCTGTTGGGCTGGCTAAATCCGCCTGCAGAAGCGGACGATGCAGTAACCTTCTTTTTTAG